TAAATTGTTGAGTTGATATAATCTATTTATTTTTGGGGAAATAGCTCATTTCCCCTTGAGTTACATACTTATAGCATTTTCTCCCCTGAATTATTTAAGTGGCTGTTCCCCCTCCCCCCCGCCCCCGCCCCCGCCCCCGAAATGTTAAATGAACATATTTATCTTTAAAATAAATATTTCATTTATTTTTCTTCTCTAACAAATTATGACCACAATTTGGTTCAAACAGCGAACCAGATCCCAAACCGCCGGTTCAGGATCCAGTTTTTAAGATTCATAAATTTAATAAATTGAAATCCAAATATTGGGTTCTGAATCTGAATCATAACCGGAAACTTTTAATTCAATTGCTATAGTGTCCGGTTCAGTTCGAATCGAACCGTGGTCATCCTTACGTAAACGCAATAATTTGTTGGAGAAGAAAAATAAATAAAATGTTTACTTTAATGGTAGAAATGTCAATTTAATATATCAGGGAAAAAAACCACCACTTTTAGAATAACTGAGAGTACTAATGTGCTTACCTGAATAATTCAAGAGGAAAAAGTGTTATAGGTATATAATTCACAGAGAAAAAATGTCATTTTTCCTTTATTTTTTAAAATAAAAACAACAAGAAAACTTTATTTAAACATAATACAATACATTTAATTAAACAAACATGACCAATCACTCCATCCAAACTTACACTAACTACCAATTAATGCTAGATTAAGGGCGTAAGGCGTACCATCCAACACAAACAACGTTAAATTAGTGCCGTACGTCTAAATATCTCCAAAGTTTTTGGCTTAAATTAAAGATACCTAACTAAATACAGAAATACATAACAATTGTGTATCTAATATCCTAATACAATTTAAAAATCTAATAAGTCTAATAAGTACAATAATTCCTAACATGTTATGAAAGCTGTAGCCTTTTAGTTAGTTTTCCAATAACACATAAATCACTCAATTTTAAAATTTCTAAACTGAGATATATATGACCTAATAAATATCAAGTAGTGATTGTGTTGTGCTTGAATTTAAACTTTTTATGTTTTTGCTCAACTTTTGTCTTGATTTGTTCATTTGACTAAAATCATTGAAAATACCACTTTTGATTTCCAAGAGGTGTTGTAATTACTCCATCTCGCTCTCATTGACTCTAAACGCATCTAAAATGGTCCACAAATATAATTCAATTAATCCCAATTCAACCATCTATAATTATATTACACCGAAACATATAAATGAATGAATAAGCAACACTTTGGCCCAAATTGTAACAAATGAACAAACAAATCAGCTGGTGAAAATATGAACAAACAAATTAATTACTTTTTATAATATACTGATCATGGTTGTTACCATATAAGAATATAATCAAATAACCCCGTAAAGCATGCATGCAATAAAATAATAAAGCCATCAATTATAAAAGCTAGCCATAGTGATTGAGCTTCTATCAACATAATCTAGCTTGTATAGTATCAGATATAGCAGTCATGAAAGTTGAAGTTGGGAGCAAAGAAATAGTGAGGCCATCTTCTCCCACTCCTCAAAGTCTCAACAATTACAAACTCTCTTTTCCGGATCAACTAGCTCTTAACGTCAGGCTTCCATTCATCTTCTTCTACGACTCCTCCGCCATGTCAGGAGCTTATTCTCATCATTCCAATACCATTGATGAGCTGAAGAAATCACTCTCCAAAACCCTGTCTCTAATGTACCCGCTGGCGGGGAGGGTGAGGGAGGACAGGATAACAGTCGAATGTAACGACGAAGGGGTGGAGTTTATTGTGGCCGATGTTGCTGAAAACATGTCTTCTTTGCTGGAAAATTTTGAAATTGAGAAGATTAAGCAGCTGACTCCTTCAGCAAAGTTTTACGAGCCCCAACCGGTAGGAAAGGTTTTGCTGGCGATTCAGGTGAACCGGTTTAGCTGCGGGGGAATAGCTATTGGGTTCTTCGTTTCACACGCCATTTTGGATGGTTCCTCCCTTGCCAAATTCATGGAAACCTGGGCATCCTTCAACCGCGGCTGTGCTGTGAATAATGGAAGTGGATTCATTTCCGATCACTCAAGCGTCTTATTCCCTCCTTTGACGGATACTTCTGCCCTTGAACGATCAGTGAGGATAACGGCCGCGGCGGTGGAGCAGGAAGAGAAAAACATGATTGTTAAAAGGTTCGTCATCCCTGCCACCGCCATAGCTCAACTCCGAGAAGATTTAACGATTACCGGCTCAGTTCAACGGCCGTCTCGCACGGAGGCGTTAACGGCGTTAGTATGGGCGGCGGTGATAAACGCAAATCCGACTCAAACTGTCACGTTATCCTGCATGGTGAACTTGCGGGGCAGGATGGAGCCGCCGCTGCCGCCGAACTGTCTAGGGAGCTTGACCTACGGAGCCACCGTTCACTGCGAGGCAGCGAAAGACGGCGGCACCGTCGTAACCGCCGCTCAATTGGTGCAGAGGATACGCGATGCTCTCCGAGCTGTGGACGACGGCGCGGCGAGGAAGATGTATGGCGAAGGCGGGTGGTTGCGTGCGGTGTTTGCCGGAGGTGATGAATTTGTGCGCAACAAAGATTGTTCAACGCTGTACACAAGCAGTCTGTGTAGAATGGCGTATTACGAAGTTGATTTTGGGTGGGGGAAGCCAAGACTGGTGGTGAATATGATCAAGAATTCTTCGGTGCTTTTCTTAGACGCCATTAATGGAGCAGTAGAAGTGTGGATGGGATTGCCTAAGCAAGTTATGCACACGTTAACGCAAGACCGCCAATTTCTTGCCTATGTTTCTGGCTTTCCTAAACCAAAGCTATGAATTCCGCACTCTTTAAAACAAATAATATTTATGCATGGAAGCTTCTACAATAATACCCATTGGGAAAAATAATAGGATGACAGTGGTTTAATGGGTAATATAATAATATTTATGGAAGCTTCTATAATAATGACTGCAGTTAATTACGGCGAGCACTCGAAGTTTGTTGTTGTTTGGATATTGGGGTTATGGCATATAATATGCAATAATAATGAGTAATTACTCCGTAGTTATTAGTCTTGACAAAGTATATATTAATAAATAGAAATTTGCATGAATAAACAAGATTCGACTAACACATATAAAGATAAACATGAAATAAGGAAAATAGGACTTAAGTTAAACGGCCAATGACCTTGTGGTCTAGTAGTATAAAGTGGTTCTCTCAATTGGAAAGTCATAAGCTACATATACTACATTGTAAATATGATAGGTTGAGAAAATACTTATGAAACATATACGGATAAACAGAGTAGGTTGGGAAAGTAGTTATGAACATATACAGATACTATATATATATATATATATATATATATATATATATATATACACTATACATTGCCGGATTTTAGGGCGTGCAAGATAGGCAACAGCACAGGGCATCAATTTTTAAAGGGCTCAATATTTATTTGTGACCTAGCTACTTAAAAAATTAAAAAAAAATTACAATTAATCTTAAAACTCATTAGTTTTTTCTCAAATCACTTCTCTCTCCTAATAATTAGGACCTAATTAATTGAGCATGACAAAACCATTCCATAACTAAAAAGAAGAGTAATATATTTTGCAATAATATTGGTTCCAACCCTGATACTACATATTGCATTGATCACTATAGAAGTATTTGAGATCTAGCTTATTTGGGATCGTCATGGTCCCATCCACGAAAATCATCTTGTTCTTCAATTTTAATGTCGTTTTCATTGCTCTCGCCCATGGATGATAGTTCGATCTTCCTTCTAGTTGAACAATCACGAGATGCTATAGAAGTATTTGAGATCTAGCTTATTTGGGATCGTCATGGTCCCATCCACGAAAATCATCTTGTTCTTCAATTTTAATGTCGTTTTCATTGGTCTCGCCCATGGATTATAGTTCGATCTTCCTTCTAGTTGAACAATCACGAGATGCAGTGAAGGACTTTAGTTTAGATGGATATGGAGAGGATCATTCCGATCTTTAGGATCAAAGGCAGTAGGGTTTGGAGTAGAAGCTAGTATAGGGTTTGGAGTAGAAGTTAGTATAGGGTTTCGAGTTGTATTTGTAAAGCCTGCTACATTTTTACCTTGAAATTCAGGATCCGTAGCCATTGGTGGACGAACCATATTCACATATCACAGAAAGGAATGTTGAGTGTAGGATAATTAAATATTGTTGTACGGATTTATGATAATTAAAATTTTTATTTGCACACAGATAAATGTCTCTGAGCCCACATTTACCTACATTAACCGTTCTAGTCAATTACACTAAATTGTTGAGTTGATATAATCTTTTTTTTTTTTAAATACAATTTTAAAATCTAATCAGTACAATAATTCCTAACATTTTTACGAAAGCTGTAAGCCCTTTAGTTAGTTTTCCAATAATGCATAAATCACTCAATTTTGAAATTCCTATACCGAGATATATAAGACCTAATAAATACCAAGTAGTAATTGTGTTGTAAGTGGATTTAAACTTTTTATGTTTTTGCTCAACTTTTGTCTTGAGTTGTTCATTTGACTAAAATCATTGAAAATATCACTTTTTGATTTCCAAAAGATGTTATATCCGACTCCATTATATTACTCCATCTCGCTCTCATTGACTCTAAACGCATCTAAAATGGTCCACAAATATAATTCAATTAATCTCAATTCAATCATCTATAATTACACCTAAACATATAAATGAATGAATAAGCAACACTTTGGCCGAAATGTAACAAATGAACAAACAAATTACTTTTTATAATATATTGATCATGGTTGATAATATATATATAAGAATCAAATAACCACGTAAAGCATGCAAGCAATAAAATAATAAAGCCATCAATTATAAAAGCTAGCCATATAGTGATTGAGCTTCTAGCAACATAATCTAGCTTGTATAATATCAGATATAACATTCATTTATTTCATAATCAAAAAGTGAGTGTATTGAAGGATGCACATCAATACAAAAGTGGCAACTTAATCGAAATAAAGCCCTAAGCTACACTATGTAAAAAGGCACAAATGCCTTATGACAAAATGATGCACATCAGCCGTGCATATAAACCAACCAAGTGCCCACAAGGGCATTACCATCCGGCCAAAAAAAAGGGACACTCTAACACTCACAAACCATTCTCCAAGCAAACAAGCCAAAAAGGTAAGAACCAACACAACCTTGCATCCTCCAAAAGGTGAGACCGATGTCCAAGGCCAACCACTTCTACACACCACCCTCAGTCTACAAGCCAACCCCTCCGGTACAGAGCTCTGTATTTTAGTCCGGGGGGTCTTCACGACCGGTAAACTGAGCAATGGCCTCCCTCAGACCATCCCACCAACACACCACCTACCAGGCTTGGGAAGCATGTGATGAGAGCGATGGTTTTCCTTACACCACCCTACCCTTAAGACATAGGAAAGTTCACTTGCATAGCGTACTATGTTTTATCAAGAGAACCCTTTTGCTCCTAGCCTTAAGCAATGGTACTCAAACACCCTCTTTCCTTTTTTCACAACTCACCCCTAACACACCTTTTTCTTCTTTTTTTTTTCTTTATTCTATGTCTTTTCCTTTCCAAAGCCATAGATCCCTTTTCAAAATCCCCCCATTCCACCCAAGTGGTTGGGGCCAGGGACACTCTCACCTCAGAGGATAGATACATTAGGCTATGAGGCTATCACTAAACACACAAGCATGCTCCCAAAACCCCCCCTACCTCTACACCCTTCCCAGTTTTGGATGGTTCTGCCCCAAATGAGCACCATTTGGCTACTACCAAGCTGAAGCATACCATTATGTGATAAGGCACCTGCAAGTCAAATAAACATATCGAAGCTAAAAAGGTCTAAGCACAGGCTTCATTTCTGCAATACACAGATGGCAGATCTGCCAACAGATTCACAGGGCCTCATTTCTGCTGTTCACATTTACAGCAACTATTTAATCAGAGTAGATAATCCACCAAGCTATAGCATAATCAATACATGTAGAGCAGCTATTTAAAGAAATTAATTTAGATAATCTGTAATCGAAAGCTTAATACCACTGCGCATGAATAAAGCAAGTAGACGGGCAGTGTTTTTGGCATCATCCAGACCACAGTGAGCTCGACCCTGCCAGCCCAAGCCAGCGTGCTGGACAGCCTCTTTCAGATCATTGCTCCTCACTCCAGCTCCAAAAGCCTCGTGGAAAGCAACCTTTAAGTTGATCCATCTGTTGAAATATGATGGCTTTGGGATCTTCTTATACCGGCATTCTGATTCCAGCATAACTCTACAATCCCAATTCCCCCACGTAACCACTGCAAAATTGGAATTCTTTATCCCTTTCTTCTCCAGCCATTCGTCGTGCATAAGGAGAGCTTCACTCAAAGTAACCCCTCGATCCACCTGAGTTTGCTGGATGCCAGTCAAATCCTTGCAAAAATCACTGAGAATCCGATTGCATGTTGGGCGCACATAGGTCTGGAAATAGGAGGATTCGAGATGGCCAGTCATGCTATTCACGATCACAGATGGGAACTCAATAATTTCTTGGGGGTGAGGCTTCTTTCCCTTGTCGCAGGTAGCTTCAAAGTCTATGACAACAAAATACTGAAAATCCTGGAATTGGAATCCGGAAGGGTAACGCTGATGATGAGGGATTGTATTGAATGGGGGATAATGGAACCGGCTGTCCACTGAGTAATAAGGATAAAACTGGGCTTCGAAACCATTCACTCTGCCCATTCGCATATTATTTGAGCCAGACGCATGGTGTTGAAAGGGTTTTTCTGGAGATTCTTCATTATCCCCAACTGGTTGAAAGTTTTTGATCGCCGCCCCGTTGTAATGCAAATGTTGAGGATATCCCGTGTTCTGGAGGAATCTTATCGGTGGTGCCTCACAGTTCACCTGCGTAGTATCTTTATGCTCTGATGCGATCATGGTGTTGTGTTGTATGTAGTTCATATCCGCGAGCAATTGCAGCAAATCTCCCAGCCCTCTTTCAATTCGCACACCTACAAACCCTAGGTATTTTGTGTTGATGAATATCGTTTGTGAATAATGGAAATTGTTTGCCCTCTTTCTCAGGGTCTATTTATATATATTTTGACCTAGAGTAAGGAATAGAAATCCTAGTCATTGTTAATAATAATAAGCCCTAGCTAATTCTTATTACATTAGGAATAGTAAGCCCAATCTCTAGTAAACTCCTAAGTTACTTTGGGAAAATTTTGTTGTGGACCATGGTTCATGTAGTATTCTGATTCATAAAGTAAGTATATTATAAGAGTTAATTCCATTTTGGTCCTAGATTTATAGGTGACAGTCCCCTTTTAATTTTCTTTTTATTAGAATACCCATTTTGGTCCTATTATCATTGTAACATGACCAATTTTGGTCTTCTATTAACAAAATCGTTGAACTTTTGTTAAATAGAAGGCCACTTTAATTAACTCTATATTCTAACTACACTTTAATTTCATTTGAAAATATTGCAATGTTTTTCAGTTTCATTATAGCAATACCAAAGTATCATTTCAATTCTACTACAATTTCATTTGCCAATATACATTATTGTTTGAGCTCTATTTTGTTGTTTCATTTTTCACACACTAGTTTAATTATAATAATACTAAAGTATTGTTTTAATTACACTCCATGTTCATTTGACAATATATATTATTGTATTGTATGGTTTTGAATATTAGTTTCATTTTCCACACACACTAATTTCATTTTAACAACATTAAAGTATCATTTTAATTATACTACAATTTCATTTGACAATACATTGTTGAATGAATTCTTTTTTTAGTTTCATTTTTCACACACACTAGTTTCATTTGATAAACACCAAAATATCATTTTAATTCTAATACAATTTCATTTGACAAGCATGGTCCACATAGCACTATGGACCATGGTCAACTATATAACAACCGGTTGCTTTGTGTTGTCACTATTGTGCATCTTCTTCTTGAACTTCATTGATCCAGTTGATTTCTTGGCCGATCCATGGGGCCCGGCCCTAGTATACCATCCATCGCTATTTTTTGATTTCGCAATAATAGTTCACTTTGATGGTTGTTTTAAAAAAAATAATATAAAATTTAACATGGACTTTGGTCAATTAATTAGAATCATACATTGGGCATTAATTAAATGGTACCTAATTTACAATAATATATATTCAACACAGATGAGAAACTATGTTAATTATCACTGTCTTTTTGGTGAATGAGGATTTAAAATTGCAGTGAAGCACGTCAAGACACAAGATCAATTCAAGAATTAATTTCTAACGGAAGTGGCAACAAGAGAAAGCATGGATCACGTCAATTAATAGGTTTGTGTTGCAGAAATTATGCTTAGGGTACTATCCAGTGAGCTGAGGGCGCTTCCTTCTAAAATGGTGCATCGAACATTTTTGTAATAGGTCATAGTTATGCATCTCTTGAAATATTTAATTTTATAAAAAATTTGATAATCTTGCATTTATATACAATAGAATACCAAATGATACTTGGATAAATTTTGAAAGACTAATTTAAAAATATACATTGGACATTAGAAAGTCAAATATTAAGCATATACAGAGTTTTCAATTAACACACAAATAGTAAGAATTCGCGCGCGCGCACATACACAGGGATGGAGGTATGTTATGGATGCAGGGGGTCTGGCCCCCCTCACCAATTTTTTTTTTTTAGTATTATAATATATATAATTTTTGCCCCCCTCCCCAAAACATTTGCCCTTGCCGGCTTCCAAGTCTCCCAAATCCCAAGTTCCAATAAAGGTAATGCATACTTCTTTTTTTTTTTTTTTTTTTTTTTTTATAGGAAAAGGCAATAAATATTTTCTTTTTTTTTAGTTGAAACCCCATACAAATTTTTACATATTTTATTCTTCCCGAAACAAGTTTTCACTCCTGCAGGGCTGTAGGTTTTCATCTTCTTCAATCCTCCATTCTCCTTCAACAATTATTTTGATAATTTTTCATTTTTCTTTAAAGCTTTGAATAATTACTTTGTAAATTTGTATTATTATTAACTTCCATAAATATTTAACATTTATTTTTTTAAGTTTATGCTTTTAGTTTTCTTGCTAACAAAAAACTAGTAGAGGTTGATCGAGAAACACATAGTCATTAGTCACATAGGGAATTAAGTTTAATTTAATTAACTAATTAAGATTTAAGAATATTATATGCACTAATATATTCTTGATTTTAGAAGATCAGATTTGATAGATTATGGAAAATTATATCTTGTTGCATATTATGTTAATTATGTTATATTATATTTTTATGTCATTACTCATTATTTTAAATGTTTAATTGATTTGGTTAATTTAAATGTTTAATTGACTTACTAAAATATTAACATTATGATTAATAGTGAATATAGGAAGATTGAACTGTTAATTATGTTATATTATATTTTTATATCATTACTCATTATTTTAAATGTTCAATTGACTTGGTTAGTTTAAATGTTTAATTGACTTACCAAAATACTAACAGTATGATTAATTGTGAATATAGAAAGATTGAGCTATAATGAAAAAGACACAAAAAAATTTGATACTTTTTTTAAAAAGAAAGAATTATGAAGATTCAACATCTCAACAAGATTCTCACCAAAAAAATAAAATTCTCACCAAAAAAAACATCTCAACAAGATGGATGATCAATTATATATGATTTTCGTGATATGCAAGAGAGACATTCTAAATTTTAGTACATTTGTAATGTAATAATCTATTTTAGTATATATTAAATGAATATTAATATATTTAATTGTTCACTCTTGAATCGTGATTGACCCCCCACATCACATAATTCTGGCTCCGTCCCTGCACAAACTAAGACAAAAAAATTATATATATGCGTACATGTCTTCCTTACCTTCCCCGGCCCTCTTAATTATATTAGACCGTATGCAATTATTCACTTGGCAGTTGGCAACGTACTCTCGCTGGCTGGTGACCATGTTTTGTCCTTGCGACAGGCGACAGCCATGAAAATATATTATACATAGTGGAGTGGTTCTTTGTTATTAAGGTGCAAAAACATTGTCTAGCTTTGTAATGAATCACTTAAGTCTAAAAAACATTTTGATTCCTTAAATATATGTCATAGATGGGAAGGTTAATTGTAGCCCGAAATCAACGAATTTGCATGATAAAATTGAAAAATTATAGTTAGAATAAGTAAATAAATAAAATCAGTCTCTTGTGTCAAAAAAAAAAAAAAAAGTAGTCGGATACGGAAATTGGGCCTGTTGGGTTGGCCAAATCAGATTATCGAACAGTCCTGTTTATCTCAATTACGGATAGTTATGCTGTGCATCCGTATGCACCATGCATGAATGGTGCATACGGATGCCAAAATAACGTCGTTTTATTAAAAAAATGTGCGTCTCCCTTTTAAAAAAAATTCAGGTTTGATTCCCAGCAATAACATTATATTGTTCATTCATTCTGGAATTTTAGTTCATAGATTATGGAATTATAGTTCATTGATTATGGAATTATAGTTCATCGATTATGGAATTGTAGTTCATCGATTCTGAAATTTTAGTTTATAGATTATGGAATTTTAGTTCATTCATTCTGGAATTTTTAGTTCATAGATTAGATTATGGAATTATAGTTCATCGATTATGGAATTATAGTTCATCGATTATGGAATTTTAGTTCATATGTTGTTGCTGGGAATCGAACCTGATTTTTTTTTTTTAAGGGGAGACGCGCGTTTTATTAAAACGACGTCGTTTTTGCATCCGTATGCACCATGCATGGTGCATACGGATGCACAGCATAATTTGCCCTCAATTACTCAAAAAGCCTAAATTAGTAAGAGTTGACAAATTATTCTGTGGACCCAAATCTATTTTGTAAGGTGAACTCGGTCCAAATGTTTATAATTTACCTTTTAAAATTTTATAATTTGTATACTACGAATATACAATATTCACAAATTTCCTTCTACAATTATTATGTGTTTTGACTTAGAAACAGAATTTATATTCTAGAAATTCATAACACGAATACTAAAGATACACAATTTATAAGGTGGACCCTAGTCCATGGTATAACCGTCCCATAAGAGTCTTACCATACTATATGCTTGTTTTGATAGAAAATTCACCATAGCCAATCATCATGGTTCATCTTTATTTTAGAAAAAAAAAATCATAAGTAACTTTTATAAAAGTTTTAATATATTCTCAAATTATACTCCCTTACTTTTGCATTCAAAAAAAAAAAAAAAATACTCCCTTACTTTTACTTCCTATGTGAAAAATAAGAATAGACTATTTTCATTATGGATCCCTATAAAAATATTCACATCAAGAATTTAAGATGAGAGTAGATATTAGAAATAAAAAATTAAAGTATATAATATTTTCCATTTTATAATTATTACACACTTCTAAATTTGCCCAATATTTATAAAACTAAATCGTTACTTAATCATTTATTTTTCAACCACCTTCAACCCTTTATTTATCAAAATAAATGGAAGAAAATTTAGAAAGGTAATTTAGGAGAGGTGAGTTGCATTTTTAGATTGCAAATATCCAATGATGACCACTTAGTTTATCTCCAGAACAAATACCATTATCCATCAATTATAAAAGCCACAATAGTGGAGCTTCTTCAAGCAAAATATAATCTTATCTCTCAATTGTTAAGAGAAATTTCTTGAATCGGATCGCCATGAAAGTTGAAGTTCGGAGCAAAGAAATAATCAGGCCATCGTCTTCTCCAACGCAAGAAAGCCGCCTCAAGAACTACAAACTCTCTCTTGTGGATCAAACAGCTCTCAACTTCAGGGTTCCATTCGTCTTCTTCTACAACTCCCCCAGTTCATCAGGACCTTCTAATAATCCTACCATTGATGAGCTCAAGAAATCGCTCTCCAAAACCCTGTCTCTAATGTACCCGTTGGCGGGGAGGATGAAGGAGGACAAGGTGACAATCGAATGTAACGACGCCGGCGTCGAGTTTATCGTCGCCGATGTTGCTGAAAACCTGTCGTGTTTGCTCGACAATCCTGAAATGGCGGCCTTCAGAGAGCTGATTCCTCGTACGGCGTCGTATGAGCCCAGACCGGAAGGAAAGGTACTGTTAATGATTCAGGTGAATCGGTTTAGGTGTGGGGGAATGGCTATGGCGGCGTTCGTTTCCCACGCCGTTGCCGACGGTTTAACCGTCGCCACGCTCTTCAAAACTTGGGCGACCATCAACCGCGGCTGCGCCGCCGTCAACGGAATTAGCGGATTCGTTTCCGACCAGTCTAGAATCTTCCCGCCTTTGACGGATACTTCCGGCATTGAACAGTTAGCGAGAAACGCGGCGGAGGAATCGGCCGCCCAGCCGCCGGAGAAATACACGGTTAGAATGTTCGTCTTTACCGCCAACGCGATATCTCAACTCCGTGAACAATTAACGGTGAAGGACACCAACACCGGCGCTCTTCTACGCCCGTCGCGCACTGAGGCGTTGACGGCGTTAGTATGGTCGGCGGTGATAAAAGCCGCAAGCCCAACTGTGAACTCTCACAGGTTTGTAAGAAATTTATTGATTTGCCTTTGAGACTCATATACATCTATAATTTTGGATAACGCCTTAGGGATCGCAATGGGGCGGGGTGGGGGCCGGGATATATCTCCGTACCAGCCCCCGACCATGCAATCCCACCCCACTCCCCATACCTGCACCCGCACTCACATGGGTAATAAAATTCCTTTCCATACTCGCTCCTGTGGGAATTTTGCAGGTGCGGGGAATACCCATAAGAATTTTGCATGTAACCTTAGTCTCATTAATAATATGAAACTTACATCTAATAAAAATTTTATTACTACAATTTATAATATTAATGTATCAAAGTCTTCACCAAATAACTACCAACTTGAATATTACATTTGATTCCAACTTCAACATTTGTGTTTAAAATCTTAAACACGAGCACCAAAAAATAATTAGAAGTTGTAATATTAGTGAGCTAGGACCTTCCCTTACTACCCAAAAATCTATATAATACTTTAAGTTTAATGTCCAAAACTTCATGAATTATATTAGTGCTTCAAATCCTCGACTTAGTACAAATTATAGACTTCAACACTAGTTTGATATTGACATTGACATAAGTATAATAACACAATAAATAAATAAATAAATAAATATATATATATATATATATATATATATATATATATATATATATATATGCGAGGGCGGGGCGGGGCGGGGATACCTCTCCCCGCACCCGTCCCCATACCCGCGCGGGTTTAAAACTTTTCCCCCATACCCGCACTTATTATCCAAATTATGCGGGTTTTATTACTCATTAGGGCGGAAATGCGGATAACCCTTTGGGTGCAAGTAGAATTGTCATCCCTAGATAACGGTGATATGGAGTATAATACAACTAATATATTTATTTAATTTCCATATTCTATAAAGGTTATCCTGCATGGTGAATTTGAGGAGCAGGATGGAGCCGCCGCTGCCGCCGAACTGCATCGGCAACTTGGTCCACGGAGCCACCGTTGAATGGGAGGAGAAGGAAGGGAGCGCAACCGCCGTTCAATTGGTGCAGAGAATACGCGATTCTCTCCGAGCTGTGAACGACGGAGTGGCGAGGAAGATGTACGGCGAAGGAGGGTTGTTGCGGGCGGCGTTGGCCGGAGGCGGCGGTGAAATAGTGCGCAAGGGAGACAGTAATTCAAAGAAAGATTCTTCCTACTGTTTGTACACATCTAGTTTGTGTGGGCTTCCGTTTTTCGAAGCTGATTTCGGGTGGGGGAGGCCAATACGGGTGGTGAATGTGTTGAAGGATTCCGCAGCTTTCATGGACACCATTAATGGAGGAATAGAACTTTGGATGGGATTGCCCAAGGAGGTTATGCAGGCGTTAATGCAAAACCACCACTTTCTTGGCTATGTTTCTGGCTTTCCTAAATCAAGCCTATGAATCCAATAGGCTCTTCCAGAAATAATGATAATTATTATGTATAACTCATTTGAATGTGAGAATGGATGGCCAAACCCGTGCGTGATTGATTCAGTATGTACTATATGGCTGAAGAAATAAGATCCCTTCTTCGTCCCCTTCCGGGACGAGTTTTTTTTTTTTTTTTTTTTTTTTTTTTTTTTTTAATACATAATTTTAATTTATTTTAATTATTTTTTTAAAAATTATTTTAAATTGGGTGACCTGTTAGAAAGACAGAAAACATGCAAATTGAATAAATTGTTTGAAATAGATTAGTTTAGGACTTAATTATAGCTTTTTTGAGTCCATTGGTCTAATTACATTATAGTGTGCGATTCAATGACCTATTTGACCCTTATTCCTAAACTTTATAGAATACCACAACTACGTTTTTTGTTATCAGAACTCAAATACCTTCATTTAAATAGTAAAAACCAAAGGATTATGATAACATATATACTACCTAACAAATCTTGGCCACTCAAAACTTATAGTGAATAATAGGCCAAGACTAAATAATCATCAAAACTTTTGGAGAAATGGGTCAAATACACCCTTAAACTTTATATGAAACTGCAATTAAGCCTCTAAACTTTAAAAAAAAAGTGTAATTAAACACTTGAACTTATCAAAATTAGGAGTAACTAATAAGTTAATAGTAAACTATCCGATGTTGACTACTATTAACAATTGTTGACCACAATATACCACTCCTCATTACCGGAGTTAAAAAAAAATAAAAATCCACCCCAACGGAGAAGGTGGTCGCTTGGTCGCCTTCTCTAGTTGGAGAGGGCGGCGGTCTGGTTGCCTTCTTAGTTGGAGAAGGCGCCATTCCGGTCACTTTTTATCAATAGTTTACCGATTAAAAAAAATAAACAAAGACTTTATTCTTGATTAGTATTACATTTGAGCATATAAGTATAACTTTTACATGTTGATCTGATCCAACCCGACCCATTGCATGAATAAGGATCTTTGAGGCGATCTTACACAAGTGTGACCTAAAAAAAATTATTACGGGAGAATGTGACACGGGACATGAAAATATATATTCTTATTACGTGAATTGTGTTAATCAAACAAACAAATAAAAAAAAAACTAAATAAAATTAGCATTCTTTAAATTAACTGTCAAGCGTTTATTATTATGCCAAAAATTATAGTTAGTAGCAAAGATATAACTTTATTTGCTTATACTTGCATATCAATCAACGCCCCGTTTGGATGGGATGATATATAGTAGATTTGGCTCTCTGAATTGAAGCCCAACACTAATGATCAATCAACAATAGTACTACCGAAACCCATCAAATAAAAGTTTCATATTTTTCCGCTTACCAAACCAATTCAACCACTGGAGCAATATATAATAATGAGCCTAACTTAGTCCTGCTATAATATATATATTTGGTGCGTTGTACCAAAAATGAAAAACAAAAAAATAAACATACATTTGGTGCATAATGCTATACGATTTGTTTAAGTGTTCATTCTATTTTTTAAATAAAAACCGTTGAAATTTCAACTACTAAATCATATAGTATGTACGTATTAGTTTATTTGGTGTAAACTTCAAAAAGTGTTGACTCTGTTGCAATGTAGTATTAAGAGTCAATACCGTCCCAAAGTTCATGATCTCCCTTTAGAAGAGTCACTTCATATCACTAAATCATTGGTGGCGGGTAAAGTATAGAAAAAGAAAAAAGAAAAAACCAAACATAGTTGAAAACAAACTTGTCACTCTTACACTTTGGCAGGCTATATAACAGCCATAATATAAGTTGCCAAGCCAACACAAAAGAGTAAAACTATTATATCATTGATAAACTTACTCCATCAAATAACCATGAAAATTGAAGTTCGCAGAAGAGATATAATCAAGCCATCTTCTCCAACTCCTCAAAGTCTCAGAACTTACAACTTCTCCATTGTGGATCAGCTCTCTGTGAACGTCAAGATCCCCTACGTCCGCTTCTACGACTCCCCAGGTAGCTCAAGAGACTACAATGGCGTCGTTGACGAGCTCAAGAAATCTCTCTCCCAGACGCTTTCGCTCATGTACCCGCTGGCCGGAAGGATCAAGGAGGACCGATCATCAATCGAATGCAACGACCAAGGCGTCGAGTTTATTGAAGGTGATGTTGCAGAGAGCCTGAGTTCTTTCCTGGAAAATCCTGATTTTGAGATGATCAGAGAGATGGTTCCCTGTAATCCTTTTACTGGGGCGTTCGAGCCCAACCCCGACGGAAGAGTTCTGGTCATTCAGGTCATATTTTCAAATAATAAACAATATATTTGCATATTCATTACTACATTAGTAATTATTGTCCTAATCACTGGTAATGCTTACTAAATTATTGCCCAAAAAGGCAAAATTTCCATGGCCCAATTAGGATTTTTACACCCTACTCAACAGGATAGTGAGGAAGTAAATCATGAACGACTCTTAGTTATTTGACAAGAGGATTCTGGTGCTTACAAGAAACATTCCCATATTGTAATTATCAGGACTAGATCATTATGTGTCATTACCTATAATCTATCACTTAAGAATCAACTGTGTTGACAATTTTTCAATTATTACTAACGCAATAATTATTGTCCTAGTCATTGGTAATGATGATTACTAAATCATCAACACATTTTAAGTTTTCAATTATTACCCACAAAAGTAAAATTTTCATAGCCCACCATCCCTACATCCCAATTTGACATGATAGTAGAGATAAGAGTAGATCACATTGACTCAATAACTTAGAGTATCAGTGTTTGGTAGTGTAACTCCCACAATCTATCATACAATTTTTCAATTATTACTAGTATAATCCGTCCATAATACATCGGCCTAATCGGAACGATGATTTTTCAGGTGAATCGGTTTAGCTGCGGCGGAATATCGGTCGGGTTGATCATGTCTCACGCCATAGGCGATGGCGCCTCCATCAGCGTGTTCGCCAACACTTGGGCCAGGATCAACCGCGGTTGCGCCGTCGTGGACGACGGCGGGTTCATCTTCGACGCATCTAAAATCTTCCCGCCGGTGAAGAACACCGCTGATCTTGATCAATTCGCCAGGGTGGCCAGAGGGGCTGCAGAGTCTCAAGAGAAATACGTGGTGCGAAGATTCTACATTCCCGCCTCCGCCATAGATCAACTCAGGGAGCAATTACGTCTCATCTCTCATTACCGCCCCTCCCGCGCAGAAGCTCTTATAGCGGTCGTATGGGACGCGGTGATATAACACTTTCCTTATTACTATTATTTAGGTTTTTTTTTTTTTTTTTTTAATGCTGCTGACCCTATTAGATTGCTGTTCAAACATAACCTAATGAAGGTATTCACTTAGGTTCAATCTCATGACCTCCCATATGAGAGAGGTGTAATTACATGTTATCTGAGCACAGAATTAATTAGGATAAAATTGAGTTTTTTTTTTTTTCACTTTTGGTTACATAACTACAGAATCAATCCGGATAAAATTGTCATTTAAAATTTTCTTCCCCATGAAGTTTAAGAAAAAAGTAATGAAAAATGACAATTTTATCCTTATAATTGGAGTATTTATGTGGATTATGAGTGTAAATGAGTCGAGCCGAGATCGAACTCAATCGAGCTAGAAATTTGAAGCTCGAGGTCGACTCGGTTATGAAATGAGCCGGTTCGAGCTCAAAGTTGATCAAATTTGAACCGAACTTTAATTGAGCAGCTCGCGAATCGCACAACTATATATATATATATATATATATATATATATATATATATATACGGCTCGCGACTGATTCAAAAAGCCACACGCCTAAAACAAAGCTACAAGCTTAAAACATTTGAGCTCGAGCTCAGCTTAATATAAAATGAGCTCGCTCGAGCTTTTGAGCTTTGACTGAGCCATTAACGAGAGCTAGATTCGTTTACACCCCTAATGTGGATTATGTGGTTACAGGTGATCGCCGCAAATCAAAAAAGACACAAGGGACGTATAAACCTCCACGTCTTAACCAGCATCCTCAACCTGCGGAACAGGATGGAGCCGCCGTTCCCGGAAAACTGTCTGGGAAACAACACCTACGGCGCCACAGTCCATTGGAACCAACCCACGGAAGGAAACCCCAGCCGCCACGCCCTGGCGCTGAAATTCCGCGACGCAATCCGGGGCGTCAACGACGAAGCTGCGAGGAGGCGATACGGCAAAGGGGGATTCCTGCACACCGCGCTGCCCATAATGAGCGAAATCATCAAGCACGAAGGGTCCAAGAAGAACATGTACTGCCTTTACACCAGCAGCCTGCTGGGGATGCAGGTTTACGCGGCGGATTTCGGGTGGGGGAAGCCCAGATGGGCGGTGAATGCGCAGGTGATGAAAGATTCGGTGGTTTTTATGGAGGGGAGATTTGGGGGAGTTGATCTGTGGATGGGATTGCCAGAGGAGCTTATGAACATAGTCATGAAAAACCCACAGTTTGTTGAGTTTGTTTCTGCTGGTTTTTCTAAATCAAAGCTATGAATTGAATGGTTGAAGAAGACGATGACTATAGAGCCCAATCCAAAGATGACCATTGTATTACTATGTATGGTTTTGCGCCATATACTATGCCCATGATCTATCTATGCCTTAATGTTCAAGTTTAATCTTTATTTAATTTCTTTTGAATAATAAATGATTTTTTTTTTTTTTTTTTTTTTTGGAAAAGAGGCAACGGAAATTCAAATCTAAATAAATGTTGAGTGGAAGTTTAGAGGGCGGAGTCTTAGTATTTGTACAAAGAGTTAATGTCGCCTCTATTGAGGTTCGAATCCACAACTTCTCATGTTTTTTTGTTTTATTTTTATAATGAATTTTGTTTTTGAATAAAGGCAATATATACATCTAGTTATAAATTAATTAAATGAAAAAAAAAAACCTTAACCTAAATTCGTTTTTTAAAAAAATGCAAGAAAATGATTGCAAGGTTCTTGATTTATAATCTTTTATGCTTGTTAGCATGTCTAGTATTTTATATTTATTATTCTTATAATGTATAGTCATAGATTAGTGGTGGTACTTAGCTCTCTATTAGTTAGGATCAGTTAGAGATTAGTTCTACGATATACTCTGTAATCCTATCTTCAGTGTAATTGAATTTGAGGTGAATTCTCTAATCATGCTTAACTTTGATTGTTATTTGTGGCATAAGTGAGGTAAAAAAAAAAAAGATTTAAAGAATATTTAAAAATAAATGAGAGTGTTTGTTTATTTAGTTATTTATTTTACAATAATTCAGAGATTCTACTCCGCTGAATCAGCCACCTATACACATGTACCATAAATAAATAAATAAGTCTCGTGGTCTGGTTTATGAGTACACACAAAATTGAAAACCCAAACAAGTCTGTCGTAAAATGGCGAGGTTTTTGGGGAAGTTCTCTTTGAAAAAAGTCAAAATAGAAAAATAATGAGTGAACTTTGGAAGAGATGAGCAATTGCATTTCAATTTTAATAAATGCCTTGATCCTGATTTCCTTCATGTTTTGCACCTGCATTGTGATAGAATATTTCTGAATTTGGTGAAATTTTCATATTTTTCTATTGAGTTTTTGTATAATTCATATAAGGGGGTGTCAGCACACGAGCACATGTTTTATATTTATGTTAGTTGTTAAAGTTTTTAATTTCTAGTCAAATGTTTTATACATTCTTTGAGTTGGCACTAACTTTGCATTGTTGGCAATAAATTTGAAAGGCTATTTAGGTAAAGCTCAGTTTAATGTTTGATTTTGTTTTTAATTTATTTTCTTTTCTTTGTAATAAGGCTTTTTGCTTGAGGACAAACAAATAAATAAGTGTGGGGAAATTTGATAAACATTATTTTTGTTGTTATTTTTAATAATCTTTTTATAGTTAACTTGTAATAATTTATTAATTTTTTCCCATTTTTATTTATTATTGTTATTAAGTAGTTTTTATTAATATTGTTAATTTTTGGGGTTGTTTTTGTTATATTTGTTTATTATTTGAATTCTGTTAGTCCAGTAATTCTTTGGTCCTAATTTAATGATAATATTAACAATTTTAGTAAACACGTTCAACAGGAGTTTAATAAATGTAGATTAGTTATATATGATCTCTAATAAGTTTATTATTATTATTATTATTATTATTATTATTATTATTATTATTATTATTTGAGTTAATAAAATTGTTGTTAGCCGGTTATTTTAGGGCCATCAAATAAACAATCTTTTTAATTCTTTCGGTTAATTGGCGAGGAATAAGAAAGGCGCAGCAAATCAGAGCCAGCATTCCGCAGATGGATTCTTCTGGCGATCCGGTTGATCAGTTGGAGCTCAAGCAAAAACTGTTGGATTTAGGGGTTATAAATAGAAGAAAATTTGAGAATCAAGATCATCAATTAACTCCGGACGAATTCCGGAGGCGGCGGCAATGATTTCCGTTCAGTGGCGGTAGTTTCGAAATTCCGGCATAGCAGATTTCTTTCGCACCAAAATTCCGTTCGATTGGCAGCTTCGTCTCAATTCTGCGGCAATCTGGGCGTTGATAATTTGTTTCGGTGTGTAACAAAGCATTCTAGTTTGTCAACATAGAATTCCAATTTGTTTAGATATTTCTTTGGTATTCACAGTTCTATACGGTCAGCAATCCCTCAATATCTTTCATTCTTTTTATTTCTTAATTTACTTTGTGTTTTGGAAGTTTTTGTCACGTGGCTTGCTTCTGTTATTATTATTTTGATTTTTTTGTTTATGTTATCATTAGTTTGATTTTAATTATTGATTTTAATTATGATTTTAGTAGTTATTGACTTTAAAATGAATTCTTAGACCTTTTTAATTTAATTGCTTATTTAATATTTTTGTTCGAGGTAATTTACTCGTTCACCGTTTTAGGTTCTGATTCAATTATTCATTCGTTTTTAGCTTCATGATTTTAATTATTTTGCATTTGATTCTTAATTAGCTTTGAACCTTCAAATCGTTTAATTAGTTAATTAAATTTCAAGTTATTAAATTGCATCGTACAATTCGTGGGATCGACCCTTGCCTTTGCACGCTATTGCTACAATGGCTCGTGCACTTGCGAGGATTATTTAAAATTGTCCATCATAATGGGTTTGATGAAAGTATTTAGCATGTTTGGTAGTAGGGTGGTGGAATGTGAATGATTACTAATAGTAGTGCTTGAGAATAAATAAAGGAATCAAACCCTTATATTATTTGAGTATGGGTTTTTCAATTAATAGGGTATTCGAAACTCATAGTAGTGTTCTAAAAATCTATCAACCAAACAATAAAAATCACTTTCATATACATTCCTGTGAGCACAACCTGTCAACCAAACACACCCTTAGTTTGGTTGGAAGGAATTGCAATTCCACGGAATTGCAATTCTCTCATTTTCATGGAATTAAAATCTCATGCCCCTTGAGATTTTAATTTCATGGATTTTAGGAAGAAAAAAAAATAATGATGAGACAAAATTACTCATCCCCTTTTCTAACCTAAAATTGATGTCTGACAACAACAATTTATACTACTTATTCCCCTTCAATTCTTATGTATACCAAACATTGGAATTGAAATTTTTAGTAATTTTATTCGTGTAAACCAGGAATTTAAATTCTCACTTTATTCCCAGTAATTTATCTCTCATGAAATTGCAATTCCTTTCTCACGTAATTCCCTCCCTCCAACCAAACGCTTCAGGCTTGAAGCAGCAAGTGAATGTGTGGAGAGCAAATTCGAAAGAATTTTATGGCAGTGCTTTTGTGTCTCTACGTACCAGTTCTGCCAATTGCTGGACACCTCCTACCACCAACCATCTTAAGTGCAATGTGGATGCGGCAATATTTGCGGATGATGCGGGCTATGGGGCTGTAATCCGAGACCACCCTGGCCACTTTGTTGCGGCTTTGGGTTGTAAATTAACTTGTGGACAAGACCTTTATCTAGTGAAGACGATGGCGGTAAAAGAAGCAATTAAATGGCTCAAGGACCTTAGTCTTGATAATATTTTTTTAAAATCAGACTATTTAAATTTTTGTCATGCTCTTATGTTGGTGCAGTTGTTAAGTAATGTCGTGATATTGTTAGGGATATTGGGAACATTACTGTTCGTCATATTTGTAGGTCAGCGAATCATGTGGCTCATGCTCTTGGAAGGGCAACTGATTCCGTAGGTCAGCGAATCATGTGGCTCATGCTCTTGGAAGGGCAACTGATTCTGAGTCTGTTCTGGGAACGTGGGTGTCTTCCGCACCGGCCTCCTTGTATTTCTCATATTTACTCCGTGTTTAATATATCGATATTCCTTTGTTTTTCAAAAAAAAAAAATCATGAAAAAACTTCCAATGTGTTTGCTCTTAGGCTCCGTTTGGAAAGCAGGAAAATGACTTTTAGAAAGTGTTTTCTAGAAAATAAGTCATTTTTTGAAAAATATTTTCCTTTTCGGTGTTTGCCTACACAAGAGAAAACTGTCTTTGTGTGTTTGGTTCATTTTCTAGAAAATGAGTAGGAAAATGAAAAGAATTGAATACTTCAAAATTTTAATTGTTTGATACTTTTGATAAAATCCTTCTGTGAATAGCACTCTTTTGATATATATATATATATATATATATATATATATATATATATATATATATATATATATATCATGGTTGAAAAAATCGGTAGGCGCCCATCGGGCGCTCGGAGAGCGCATAACGCCTAGCTAGCCGCGATTAATCGGCGCCTAGGCGCCCATGTATTTTTTATTTTTAAAAAATTTGTTTAATTTTTTAAGACATGATAATTAATAACTATTTAATACTTTAATAGTTAATAGTAAAATATTAAATATTAACCTTAAAAAATCTAGAGTTTTAACAATTTAGAATTATTTCGCAAAAAATTATGTCGTTTTGACTAAAATAACTCATTTAAAAAAGAATAGAACAATAGTTAATTGGCCAACTAGGCAACCTAGTTGGTGCCTAGGCGGCCTAGTCGGTGCCTAGGAGGCCTAGTCGGCCAGGCGCCTAGACCACCGATTATGGTGATACGCTAGGCGGCCGACCAGCGTCTAGCGCCTAGGCGCCCGATTAATCGGTGCTTAGGTAGAATTTTTGCAATATTGATAATATATATATATATATATATATATATATATATATATATATATATATATATATATATATATAAATTACTGTGTAGTGTATTATAAATATAGTATTGGGGGATTTGATTTGGCCAGATTGGAATGTGTTCCACGGCTGGTTACAGACGAGGATAATGACTTGTTGACAGCAGTGCCAGAAGTGGATGAGGTAAAGGCGGTGGTAATGCAGAATGCAGATGAACTCTACGAGCGCGGCAGGACCGGATGGTTTCTCGGGGGCCTTTTATAAGGCTTGTTGGGATATTATTCTGGATGATATATATATATATATATATATATATATATATATATTAAGGATCAAATGAGGTCACTTTCTCCCATGAGGATTGTGGATTAATCCTAGCCATAGATATTGTGTTAATGTGTGGTTATGCTTTTTTGTTATTTATTTATTTTGTTTTTAAACGCAACTCTGTTTGGGTACTTTAGTCTTTTTTATTTTTTTTACCTTTCATAGTTTTTATTGGTTTGGGATATTATGCATTTTTTTAGGGTGAGTAATTAAGGTAAGGTAGAATTCTTGATGGGGTATCCGATCATCATTGCCTTTTTTTTTCTTTTTTTTCTTTTTTTT